GAATGCCATTTATTTTACTGCTACCATTGTTTCATAGTCTGTGCATGATGAAGTTAGTCCCATGTCAGATTTTTTAATAGGTATGGTGCTTGTCTCAAATCCCTTAGGATGTTTTTCTAAGCTTAAGAAGTTTAGGTATTCTCTTTGCTTTCCTTGCAGCCCTTCCCCAAATACATTTACAAGATTAAAATTTGCTAAGTTATGAATGTGTAAATTTAATTCAATATGCAAATATTTCTGTCATTTTGAACTGTAGAATTTTATGTGGAGTTTTGTTTTTTTTCTCACTCATTAGTATGGTTTAAAAAGGAAGCTTATGTGAGATGTATTCATTCTTCTTAGTAACCTTGGAATGGATGTCTGGGATTCAGATGAAGATATTATTCCCCCACCACATGCAATGGAAGGACCTGTAGAGCGGTTCCCAAATGAAGATTTTCAGGGGTAATAGGCTGAAACATGGAATGAAAAGCCAAACCAATCACATAGGGGAAAATATAATTGTTTCTTATTAAAAATACTGGAGATATTTTAAAAGATTTTATAAATATAACCTACTGATCCAAAATAAATTTATAGAATTCGGTTAAACAGAGAAAAGATGAGGTGGGGAAAAAAGGGAATGTGCAGTATTAGAAGCCTGCAAGTAATTAGTTCACTTGGAAAAAAATAGAGTTTTACTTTGCCTGTCCTTTTTTATTTTACAGTAATCTGCAATTATATTTTATTTATTTGGAATCACTGGTTTTGCCTGTTAAACAAGCACTATAGAATTATAATTGAATGTTTGTCACAGCTTCTACTGTGACATTTAAAGTTTTATAATCTTACTTACTTGGATTCTTAGTAGCTTTGAAAGATTTGCAATATCTTTATATCAGTTCTTTGTTAAAAAAAAAAGTTTTCATTAATGACTTGTAGCTACAATGTTCTATTTAAGACAAAATCTTCTTTACAGGTCTGGGAAAAGATTAAGAATTTATGATGACCACTCTCATGATGATTTGCAAGGACAGATACAGTTGAGAGATTTTGATTTCATTAACAAGGGACCTGGACAAAGACGAAGACCATTTCATGACCATCATACTCAGGATGACTTAAGAGCACCAATGCAGATGAGAAATTGGGACTACAATAGGGGACCAGGACAGAGGCAAAGATCCTTTCCTGATCACCAGTTTTATGATGATTATGAAGAAGATATTCAGCTGAAGGACCCAGATTTCAGTAACAAGGGACCTGCACAAAGGTTGAGACCCTTTCATGGACATCAGTTTCATGATGATTTACAGGCAGAGAGACAGTCAAGGGACACTGAATTTAACAGAGGTCGTGGACAAAGGCAGAGATCTTTTCCTGACCATCCATCTCATAAGGAGTTGCAGGAAGACAGGCAGTCAAAGGATTTTGATTTTGGTAGCAGGGGCCATGGCCAGAGACGAAGACCATTCCAAGACCATGAATCTCATGATGAATTTCAGACTCAGATGCAGATGAAAGAGTTAGACTGTGTCAACAAAGGTCCTGGCCAAAGACCAAGATCTTTCCATGACTATCAGTCACAGGATGACTTACAGTCACAGATGCAATTGGGAGATTTTGAATTTGTTAACAGGGGTCGTGGGCAGAGGTTGAGGCACTTCAATGATCACCAGCCTCGCAATGACTTAAAAACAGAGATGCAACTAAAAGATTATCATAATAAAGGTCCTGGACAAAGGCGAAGACCTTTTCATGACCATCAGCCTTATGATGACATGCAGGAACAGACTCGGTTAAAAGATCTTGATTATGGTAATAAAGGGCATGGACAAAGGCCAAGACCTTTTCATGATCATCCAGGTCATGATGACTTGCCACGTGAATGGTGTTCTGACAGGTAAAGCGTCATTGAGCTGTAAAACCACAATTAGAGACTAAAAGTGTTAAACCTCAGCACTTCTAAATTAAATGTCAGATGAATTCATGTAAAAAAAATAATTTGAAAACAATTACTCATCCTTTTAAAATCATATATAAATGATCAGTTAACTCTTTATTTTGACATATGGAAGGAGTGGAGTGTTGCATCTTTGAAAGACAGTGTTTCCTGAATTAGAAGGTTGTGCTTCTTTAAGGCTTATATGTTTCCTTTATCTTTTAAGAGTCAGCTTGAAACAAAACTCTGTCCTGCTTTGCTTTTTTTATAGAAACTTATATTTAGAAAGCAATCCTCAAGACAGAAGAGGATATGAAATTTTATTTATGCCCTTGGCCAAACAGCAATAAACAGTAATGCAACAAGGAAGTTTGATTTGCATTTGTTTATTCCATGAGTTAATAATTTGTTAGAAATCCCTTTGCTTCTGAACTTGCATTATATTTTCCCAAATACATATATCACTTATTAGTAAACCTATTGGACTCTGACATAATATTTCACAATATTTTTAATATTTTGGAAAGTATTTCTGATTTTTAAGTAGATTTTAATTAAAAGTAAAAATATTTCATTTGATAAACACATATTTTCAAAGCTTACAACTGTTGGTACTCTTCTTAACATGCAACTCTTTTGGTTAATTGCAGAAGTCAGTCTTTTTCTTCCCATGAAAATGTACCAGAACCTCATTTCTCCTCATCTCCTTCACTTCACAGAGATTATGGGTCTGATAATGATGAGTTTAACAGAAGTTATAGGTAAATACCAGATTTTGTATGTTGTTTTCTGACTTATCTTTATACTCTCCCCCCCATTTTCATAAATATAAAATACAAATTAACTGCACAGTGTAAAAATGGATCTTAATACTTTTGCTTAAATGCAGCTTAAACCATTGAATCTGAACACAGAGCAAATAACGTGGCTGATTTGTGGTCTGTCTATATTGAGTGTGATTATTAAATGGGTTGAGAACCCCTGATGTAAGTCATTGGCATGACAAGCACAGTTCAGGCACAAAACATGAAAAGCTGTTGTCAGTAAGCAAAAAAGCAAAATAGAGATGCTGTATTTAAATCTTCACTGCTGTCTACAACAAGCTAATGAGTTTTGCTATGAGGAAGGTCAGACACTGGAACAGGTTTCCCAGAGCAGCTGTGAAATCACCACATTGTATCCTTTAAGATACTCAGAACTCAGCCGGATATGGCTCCTGCATAAACTCTTTTAATGAGCAGGTGGCCCTAGGTACTTCCAGAGATCCTTTCCAGGCTTAAATTAATCTATGGTTCAGTGGGGGAGAAGATTCTAAAATTACAAAGATTGTTCTGAATTGGCTTTATACACCACTTATTTTACAAAGCAAGATACTTGAGAATAAAGAGAATCCAAACCAAAATATGTATGTATTGTATATGCATTTGTAGAGTCTTCCATATGTATTTTGGAGAGTGATTCTCCAATTGCAGAAATATTAATATTTAAAATATTTGGCGCTATAAATCCGAAGTATATTATTGCCTGATGAGACTATGTACTAGAGAGCTACTGTTGCGTATTATTCACAAAAATGAAAACATGGGCTTAGGAACAAAAATAGCCCCTAGGTGAATAAATCCTCAGTAAACAGGGAATAAAAACAGCACTTGGAAAAAAAACATCTTCTAGTAGAGTTACTTACTATAAAAAGCTGTACTTTTTCTAATCACTAGGATTGAAAAATTAATATAAACAAATCTGCAACATCCAGTAGAGAGGATTTTAATTTATGGGTAAAAACAAGAATAAGAGTCTGAATTGTTCTTTCAAGGTTACGCTAGTTTAGTTTCTAATGGTGCCCACCAACAGTAAATCAACTGGTCTAGTTCTAAGGTTTTCATTGTTCATATGTGTTTTTCTTACAGTAATCGACCAAATTGTCCTGAAGACAATAGAAGAATGCATCCCTCAGATGAATTTAATAGAGGAAAAAACAGATTTGCACCATATTCTTCACGAACAATGCATCCATCTTCATCTGTACACCAAGAAGATAGTTCAACAGATTATGCAAGAAAACCTTTTCAGGATGAAACTATCAGAGAGATGGAACAAAGCAAAAGATTACCAGTTGTAACAGTTGATTACAATTATGGTCTGCCATTAGATTATGGACCTGAAGAGCAAGAGGGAGAACGTTATGATTTACCTTCAAGAGACCGCTACAACTGGTACTGAATAAAAAAGATGATGTTTACTCAGCTTAGACTTACTTTTACACATTTGACTTTGTATGTGGACCAAATTTATTTTTTTTTCTTTTTTTCCTCCACATCAGGAAAACACAAATTTCAGCAGTAGGGAACTGGTCTCTATTATAAGATTATATTCTACTGATGTTTGGTTCTTTAAATTTATTAGGGCATATTTGTTAAAGTGTAGCTGGAGACAAGGTCTCAGTACACAGGGAATTAAAGTAGTCCTTCCTTTTAGTGAAATTGGAATCCTGTACCTTAAAACAAACAACTTTGAGTGACTGTAGTTGTGTCTTTTGTTTTACCTTTCTTTAAAATGTGTGTAATTTCCAGATGCAGAAGTCATAATAAAATACTTCACTACCAGGTAAATGAGCACTGAGATTACAGAAAAATACTGTGAAATGAATGAAACAGTTATGTCTGCTTCATCCTTTAATTTGAAAACAGAATTTTGAATTACTGCTTACAAACTCAGCAGCTTTGTAGTCTAATTCCAGATTTTCTGTACCATCAGCTGAACTCACCTACTCTTTTTTTCATAGCAGACTTTTTCACAGATTGCTGAGAAACACAGAAGCAAATGGAGTTTGAATCCTCTAAATGTCATACTTGCTTTTCATCAATCTGAATATCCCATCCAGATTGTATATTTTTTTTCATGATCCTATAGGTTATATATGTTTTAGAATAGCCCAGTGCAAGTAAATTTCGTAGTTTTCTCAGGAGCACATCAGCTTACCTGTCTCAACTGGCCAAGATCACCAGTGCCTATACACTTACACCTCTTTGTTTGTCAGTCACACTCTCCAGTTCTACTTTTTGCTAGTTTCTTTTACAGCACAGCACAGTTAATCAGAGTAGAAGAATAAGCTCTTCAGGTAAGTCACTGTTAAGAGTCATGTACTGAAAAGTTTCCTCTGAACTGTTGCTTCAGTGGGTATCAAGGAGGTGGTGCAACAAACAGCAACCAAATTCATGACAGCAGCTGCACAGTAGCACCAACAGCTCCTACTATGGATAAATCTTAGTTCATATGATGGAAAACAGTATTCATGTAATACTTAGGTGAACTTTGAAAATTACATTTTTCATTATTATTACATTTTAATAAATTAATATTTGTAAAGGCATCACAGTAAATAAGGATAGAGCTAGACCATGATATTAAAATAATTAAAATGAATTTGCTAGATTACTTCAGTCATACAGTTGAGAAACTGCCTCAAAAGCCACATAGCTGTAAAGCATAAAGCAAGAAGGTGTAGGTATACCTTAGAAAACAGAAAAAAGTGTTCGTAGCCAGAACCCACAGGCTGGTTTTGCCTTTTAGCAGCAGCATAAAACCCACATTTCTGAACTCATGGTTCTAGGACTACTAAATAAGGACTAGATTTGAAAAGTGTGGAACATCTGGCAGCTCCTATTGGTTTGTAACACATGCAAAAAGTTCCTAAAATCGTAGGACTCTGTGGATATAAATTCAAACTGCAGATGCTCCATTGCCTTTGCAAGTGGTAGAACAACTTCAGCGTTGTTCATTGTGCAAAGTAAATAGTTTTCTTGTTTTCACAGCAGCCAGTCAATTGTGTTCCCCATTAAATCTCTGTGAGCCTCATTCATGTGGTTTCAGGAGTAAATCTCTCTATATATAAACTGGTTCTGGAACTGAGCACTGAAATGTTAAGAAAAGGCATTTGTTCCCTTACTTGCCTCTTTTAAATTATTTTTTATTTTATTTATTTCTTTTAATGAATGGTGAGCTGAGTATCTAGGCTTCTTTATTTGGAGGTGAGGAAGATCTGCACCATGGGCTACTATTATTGCCAGATCCTTTTTAAAAAAATAAAACCCCTTCCTGATACTATCCAGCAGGGAGATAAGAATTAGAGCCTGGCATTACAAGCATTTGATTTTGGTTTGGGTTTTTTTCTTTTATACTGTGTATGCAGTTGTTCATGAAGTGAAGAAAGAGAAAATATTTGCTCTTCCTTTTTTTGTTTTGGGGTTTGGATTACATTTTTTTAGGCTTGAAGTGACCCTACAGTCAGTCCTTTGTTAGATCAGACAGGGGATGCTAGGACTCCCTGGAGAACTGAAAAAAGCTTGTGTACTGCAAAACTTCAGGGCAACGAAAAATGTCACATAGTAAGTTAGTACTTAGTAGTCAGCATTAGCTGTTACCAGCCTTCTGTCAGTTCATGCAGGACCCTCAGGGTTTAGATACAGTCAGGTTGTGTAATTCCTATTATGTGATAAAACAAACATCACTTCTGAAACTATGTCTTTTCAAGCAAAATTTATAGACAGGATGTGTCCACAAATGGCTTTGAGCTGACTATATGAAAATAGCCAAAGTTGGGGGTTTGGTGTTACTATTTTTATATATATATATTTTTTTAATACAGAATAAGGCTTTCAACTCCATTCTTCCTTGTCAAATTACGCAGAGCTGAGCCCATGTAATACATTACAAGCTATTACTGACATTTATCTCAGATTCCACAGCTGAGACATCACTGCATATTCACATATGTAGTATTCAATTACTAATTGATCCACATCGTGGAGGATGAAATTAAATGCTGTTTGTTTCTTGTATTTGGGTGGCATTCAAAACAAAACAAAAAAATAAAAACACCCAAAAACCAAACCCCTCAAAACCAACAACAACAAAAAAACCCCAAACTTTTATTTGTTTCACAAATCTACCAAAATGTCATAATGTCTTGCTGGGCTCTTTTGTGTATGTTCTCAGCAAACCTAGAAATAACTCATGTTCTATCACAGAGCAATAAAAGGCAAGATTTGGGTGGACAGTGTTGGTTTCTCACTGCCCTGAGTGTGAAACCTTCAAGAAAACCACAAGGATACAGTAAATCCAGAGATAGCATGAAATCGTTTGAGGGACTTGTAAGAGGGGTTTTATATAGATATGTGTGCGTATATATATATATATAACTATTGAACTCTGAACTCACAGAAAACTTTCTGTTGCTGTGATGAAGTTTTGGGAGGCCTGATTTTTACTGGGAGGTAAAACCATGGGGCCAGCTTACTCTCAGGTACAATCATACTAAGTTAGGAAATGTTCAGGTGGTTTCCAGAAAATGCTAGGAGAAGGTTCAGATGAGCACTATGCAGAAAGCTGACTCCCAAGAAGGGCTTGGGGTAAAGAAAGGCCAGCTCCAGCAGAAAGAACACAGGGATACAGCTAAATTTATATGTAGAAATCTGCATTACATGTGCAGCTAATTTAGTTTTATGTGTGAAGAACAAAGAGTTACCTAAAAAAAGGGCTAGAAAGGCTTGCTTGTGACTGTTTCTCTCTTAGCTGGGGCAAGAGGTAATTGTACTTGTGGCTTCTCATAGGTCATTTAGTATCCTTTCCCGTTTTGTGTATCTAAAGTAACTGCTAGCAAGCTGCAGCGTTTGTTTTTTTTTTATGTGCAAATGTGATCAGGGATGGGTTACGATTTGAATTTGACATGCACTACTAAAACTAGCTTGTCAGGACTAGGAGGTAGCTTCTGAAGATATCTCCTTCTTAGGTTACCTTATATGAGGCATACAGAAATGCAGACACCCAAAGATCATTTGTAGTGTAGAATCTGCTAGGTGCTGGGGAAGGAAGGAATGTATTCCCCACCCAGGGTTCAGCAAGGGGATATGCATCCCTGGCCACTGTGAACACCGGTTTATTTCAAATGTCTGTGTAAACAAAAGCAACAGCTTCATGCTGTTATCAGCCGCTAGTATTTGCTTTCTCTCCAGGCTGACTTACTCACTCTAGTTGTCAGTGGACTATGCTTTACTGGTTCCAGTGGACAGCAATTACCAAGCCTGCAGATCCCTTTCTTCTTCTTGTGGGGAGACAGAAAAAACAGATGACAAAAAGGAGCCAGGTGAGGAGGCAACTTGGATCTCCTTCCTCCTGAGCTGAGCAGACAACGAGGGAGTTGAGAGAGGGAGACAGGAAAAAAATAACAGACAAAAATGAAGGAGGAGGGAAGATTAAAGTTGTCAGGGGGAGAGTTAGCAGTGTGAGAGAAGAAATGTGCAAAAGATGCATATGTAAAAGCTGGTGAGAGATTACTGCGTATAAAAAAGAGGGCATATGCTGGAAGAGGAGTCCCTGGCAACTTCTTATCTGGGTCTTCTAAGCTGTGCCTGTGGTTCTGTGTGAGCACCCCGCTGATGTAAATAACAGTTATCAAAAAAATACAGGAGCACTCGGACCTCTAATCCTGCAATAAAGTCATGTGGGAGCGTAAAACTAATTAAGGTTTCCCTTTAAGCTTTAAATCTAGTCTATATGTAGTATAATATCCTGAATATATTCCCTCCAGAATCCAATGAGAATTTCAGACAAGTAAGTAGGAAACAACTCTGTAAGTCTTTCACTCGTTGGAAACAAGCTAGGTTTTTACTGGATATCATGAATCCCATCATTTGAGGACTCTGAGAATCAAATCCAGTTTGTTTATTACAAATACATACGTCTTATTGCACACTTTCAGGGCAGTATCAAAACACACTATAATGTTGCTATTAATGTACCCATCAGCTTACAGTTATAAATTAGTTAAACAGTAACAAACAAATCTGAAGTAATTGCCTCTATAGGAAGTAAAATAAGCAAGTTAATGCAGGGTCATACTGAAAGCAGGAGGCATTTGCTTCCTTCATGAGGAATGTTCAGAACTGAATGCTCCATAAAGGAAGATAGGAAGATGAAAGAGCCGCCAGGATAGATAAGAGTTGACACAGATGAGGATGATCCTCATGCAGTTCTTCAAAGGACCTCTCCTAACATAAACAGAAGTTTTTACTTTGCCAGTTATACTACCAAACAAGAGTCTATACAGAAAAATTAATCCTTGAAGAAGACAACTGAGTACAAGCTATGTTGATATCTGTTAATCAAATCTCAACCCATCTTTGGGATGCATATAGTAAAAACACAAGAAAGAAATAGAAAGCATGAACTAGTAGTGCAAAGTGAATGCTGCAGCTGAATTCATTCTTGTGTGCGCATCCCAGATCAAAAATGGGACCACCATATCCTGGTATCTACATTATGTTGAAGCTATTTTATAGCAATTTGGGTATATTTCTGATTTTCAAATGTTATGCACAGAAATCTCTAATAGGCCTAAAATATATTCTGAGAAACAGTCCAAAAATTAAAATAAAATATTGTTTTCTATTGTTTAATATAGTAAAATAATAAAATACATAGAAAGCAAAGGATATGTCCACCAGACTTGTTTTTAAATCCAATTGAAACTCACTAACTGTAGCAGAACTTGTGATGATGGCCACAGATTAGCTTTCTTTTCTGTCTTTGAAAAGCAACAGCTTTTGGAAAGAGCCAGACTACATGTGAAACTTCTGGCCCTGTTTATTCAGCATTATGGTGTGTGTCTGAATCCTTATGTCCCTGATGACAGAGGTGCTTTTTTATTTATGTTCTTTGTATTCAGTTTGTGCACACTGGAATTAGATGCACTCTTTTTTGTTGGTTTGTTTTTTGGTTGGTTTTTTGGTTTTTTTTGAACGGCACAGGCTGATGTCCCTCTTGCTTTAGCTCATGAAAAAAGAACAATCTGACTACTGAAATTAAATGAAAAAAACGCACACAAACACAGCCACACAAGCTTAAATAATAGAAGAACTTAATAAAAGCTCTCTTCTTGTTTCTCTCATGTTATTTTCATGTTGTGTTTTTCCACAGGCCTAAGTAGAAAGACCTGCAGATTTATAGGACACATTTGGCCTCATTATTTCCATTTCTCTTTGTCTCTAACTGTGGCTTATTTTCACCTGTTACCTTGATTCAGAAAAGCATACTTAGACACCTGACAGGAGCTTTTCTCCCATTCGGTCTTCTTTCTGGATATGAGATATTAAATCCATTTTTATAATTGTACACATATCTATGTATGAATGTATGTATATGTGCATTATATATCTAAATTTCTGTATATAAAGGGAGATTTCTGCTCTCTTGA